TTTTTGTTTAATTTCATTTGTATATTTTACTTTAGGCTCTGTCTCAAAAAAAAAAAAAAAAAAAAAAAAAAGAATTTAATTCTGTACTATCTTAGCACTGTGTAAACTCCTTTTCTAAATCCAGTATCATGTAGTATTATAGTTATTTATGTGTTTGTCTTCCCTTATGGATAACTGAACTCATTAAAAATCTAGTGAAGACTTCGTGCCTGTAGCTCAGTGGCTAGGCACCAGCCACATATACCAGGACTGGTGAGTTCAAACCCAGCCCTGGCCTGCCAAACAACAATGACAACTACAAAAAAAAAAAAAAACATAGTGAAGTGATTAAGGGTATCACTGGGGTTAGAATGCTGGATTCAAATCCTTCTGATGGCATTTACTAGATGTGTGAGCTTGGGTAAATAATTTTGCCTCTAAACCTCTCTTTTCTCATCTGTAAAATGGGGATAATAAAAGTGCTTAATTTATAAGGATTAAATGAGATAATCCACTGTGTCAGTCATAAAAGTAACCACATCCCCTCAACCTTTTCTTTTTTCTTTTTTTTGCCTTTTTTGCCCTGATACTTAGCAGTTGGAGATAATAGAGATTTTTTTCTATAGATTTGAATTTAAATCCCTATTCCTTTAATATCCAGTTATACAGGGTTGCAGTTGCAGCCTTCCCTTGCTATTTCTATTAGAAATAAATCAGACTAATTAATATTTTGAATTCTGAGCTGTAGAATTTAGTTCCTCAAAATACCAACAAAACCTGTTGATAAGACAAAGGTGAGTTTGTCTGCCCTAAGTAGAGTGCTACTTTGACAGGGTTGTAGCAGCAGCTCAGAGGGAGATGAACAAAGTAGTGGTACATATTTAGATTTTGAAATTTTTCTTAAATGAGTTTGATCAGGATTGGGTGAAGATCATGATACAATAGTTTAGGATTGGTGGACACTGTGAAGGCAGTATTTTGAGGCCGGGGTTGTAAAAGTCTTGTAGCAGACAAAGCTGTCATTTGATACTTTCTGCTAACGGTTCTTTTAGGAAGTTCCTAGAATGACTGATGGATTTATTTGCATTTTTAACTTACTGAAATAGTTGTTGTGTTAATGCAGAAAATAAGTTGTGTTGGTATATAGGTGGTTTCAGTTTAGCGCTTTTAGAAAAGCTATTAATAATAAGTAAAAGATGGCTCATGCCTATAATCCTAGCACTCCAGGAGGCTGAGGTGGGTCGGTTGCCTGAGCTCACAGGTTCCAGACCAGCCTGAACCAGCTTGAGATCCCATCTCTAAAAATAGCCAGGCGTTGTGGTGCAGGGCTGTAAAAGTAGTCCCACATACTCAGGGAGCTGAGGCAAGAGAATCTCTTGAGCCCAAGACTTTAAGATTGCTGTGAGCTAGGATGCCATGACACTCTACCAAGGGCAACAAAGTAAGACTCTGTCTCAAAATAATATAAGTAAAATTAAAGGAACTGTATCCAGGATACTGAGGCCACCTGTCTCTGTGAACAAAGTTTGAAATGGAACATTATTATTTTGGTAATTCAGAATGTGATTTGAACTTTAGATGGATGCCCACTCCTTGGTTTCCTCATTTCCCACCACCCATTTATGTCAGTTGAAAGCCACCCCTTTTTCAAAGAGGCAGCATCAGGAATGTTCATTCCCCTGCTTGAAACCTGTAACTGCTTCAGCAGCATAAATACTCTGGTTAGATGGCACAGAAGTTTCTTTCCAGATTTGGACAATGTGTTCTCCTTGGAGAAGGCACACTTCTGTACTTGACCTTCCACAGACAGCACGTGCTAAGTTTAACTAGCATCTTCTGAATATTAAAGGAAAAATTATTATTACACTTGTAAAATGGTAAGGAAGACTTTACTTGTGACCAAAGAGGAGAAGATTATGATCAACTCTGAATACAACAAGGACAAGTAGGGATTTATAACCAACAAGCAGAATGAGGGATCAGTGGATGAAAAATTCCTGAGAGACATCAGGGTAGGGGATTCTTATTAAACCAACTTCATAGGGTTTTTTTGTTTGTTTGTTTGTTTTGTAGTTTTTGGCCAGGGCTGCATTTGAACCCACCACCTCCAGCATATAGGGCCAGAGCCCTACTCTTTTGAGCCACAGGTGCTGCCCTTCATAGGATTCTTAATTAAGGTAGTCCAGGTTGATCCAATATCAAGGATGGAGTATTCTCTCTCTAAACTAATTTTGCAGGATTCGTACTACGTTTATTCTTAACCTCAGTAAAAAACAAATGACCAAAAACTACGTTGATAGAATTAACTCTAAAAAATGATTTCTTTATGGAAAGAAAATGAAAAAACACACAAAGTCCTGCAAACTAGGGGACCCAAGAAGTTTCCTTTAGATAGCCTTTCAAAGGTATAAAGATTTCTCATTCAGGACTTAAAGAAGTAAAGGTTGAAGAGAAAAAAATAAGTAGACAGCTCCTTCTAGGAGCGCAATAGGTTCCTCGTGGTAAGATCACCCCATAGGGCGGCTTACCGCCTCTGGGGCCCGGTCACTGGGCACTACAAGGTCCAGGAAGCGCCGCGGCGGGGGCGGGGCTTGCTGACCGCTGTGACGTTGTGGGCGGGGCCAGGCGGGATAAGCTTTCCCTTGGGTTCTTAGCTCCGCCCCCGTCCCTTTCCCTGCCCTGTTGCTGTTGCGCTGCTGCTGGCTGCTACCCCTGGTGAGTCCCTCCCAAGGAAGGGGGCAGTTCAGCCCTTGGGTTGCCCAAACTTTAACTTCTAGTCTAGCGAAAAGGCCATGGGTGGGTAGAGGGGCGTCCAGTTTCGGGTTTTACCCCAGGCTACCTTCTGGGGTGATAGTAAGTGGGAGAGGCGTCCTGGAGGCCCTGGAGCCCCTTCCGCGGCCTTGGAGCGTCAAGGAGCAGTTTTCTTTGAGGGCAGGGCTGGAGTTCGTGTGGCCAGTTAAGAGGCTTCTTCGGACACCTCTGACGGAAGTGAGGGTCTTGATGCTTCATTAGCCCGCAGCGGGAGTCGTGGGTTCGGTAGTCCTTCACCTTGACGTCATCACTCTTGGCTTCCAGGCAAAGGCGGAGCCCTTCCGCCTCATCCTGGGCAAGTTACTTTCTCTTTGGACCTCAGTTTACCTCTCTACGAGTGGGTTTGACTCACGAAACCCTTATCGTTTGCATTCTGCAATTGCAGGAAGAGATGTTCTAGGCAGCCTAGAAGTAAAAGAGGTGTAGCACCCTGCTTCTTTACAGTTGATTTCCCATTGCCCCTCCCCACCGCCACCATTAGCCCAATTTTAGTTTGGGGGCTAATATTCCCACTTACATATGATTTCAACCCCACAGGACGTGTTATCTTTTTTCTGTTGCTTGTATTCTTTGTTCTAGATGCAAGCCAACAAGTGGCCTTGGTTGGAGCTGAGTAGAATAATAGGTGATTTTTATAACTTCTCCACTGTTGCAAAAAACCATTTAAAGCAAAGGACTTTTTGCAGCAGGTCTTTTAGCTTATGGAGAACACATAATTAAGGAATATCCAGATGGCTCAGTTTCCCTGGTATTTTCAGAGGGCTTTGAAATTTTATCCTTTAGCAGACGTAACAGCTGTGGAGTGGAAAGGACCTTGAAAAGGGTAGTTGGTAATCCTGAATTACCTGGCACTATCAAGTCCTATTGTCTTTTGAGTCAGATAGTACATCTGGGGCTCTTTTAAAATTTCGGCTGTACTTATTAGTAGACTGTCTTGCATCTTTATTTTCTTAGATGAAAAGAGAGACAGTTAAAATGAACTCTTTCACTTAGGATCAGCATTATAGCTGGAAAGGTCCTGAGAGATTTTCTAGCCTGATCCACACATTTTACTGATGAGGAAACAGAGGCCAAAAAAGGAGGTAGTGTGACTTGACCAAGGTTTCAGAGCTAGCTGGGGGCAGAATTAAGAGCCCAAGTCCCTTGGCCCCTAGCCTAGTCCCCTTTCTACCACACTTACAAACACTGCTACTACTCACATTACAAAGACATGGCATAGTAGAGTCACCCCTTTCAAGAAAAAAGTGGAAAGTCTCAGTAAAATGGAAATTTCATACACAGCTTTGAGCTTTTCACGGTTTCTTTCAGTTGCCTGCATCTCACGTCCCAGAACTATTTTCCTGTTCTTCCCCTAGACCTGGTGCTGGGACTGTGGTGGTGTGGTATGTGGGCCTGCTTATGACAGACTGGACAGCCAGTTGAAACAGTTGTTAACATACGGTACTAAAGGGTTCCTATAAAATTTTTATAAGGTACTCTGAAACATTTTAGGTAAGGAACTAGAGTGAACTTGGAAATTTTGGACCAGAGCAAGTGGTTCAATAATTTGAGGACCAGTGATTGTGTCTGCTTTTACTACCTGTGTCAGGGCCCTCTACATAGCCATAGCATCCATCCACTGCCTGTGTTCTCCAAGGGTAGGTCTGGGTAAGCTTCTCTGCCAGGGCCAGGAAGAAATGGAATTCAAATGAGTTCATCCATTTTGCTAATTGCTAATAGTTTAGAAAGTAAACAGAAGGATGAAGGAATTCGATTAAATTCCTTATCGAAAGGATAAGTCAGTGGGTCTGACTAATCTTTGTTTCTACTGCTCTCAAATGAAGAATTGATTTGCATTTCTCTCTTGGTTATGGAAGCGTTTCATTTCGTTCTGTGAACTAATCCAAAGAATCTTACCTTCATTTCTCTTGTGTTTTGTATCCTGTGCCCACTGATACAAAAGACTAATGTTAAAATGCCGGGCATTTTAAAAATTTTCTGCTAAAAAGCTTATCAGTGTAGTTTGCAGATTTGCTCAGAAAGAGCAGAAGTAGAACTGACTGTCCTTTTGTGCAGGAAGACAGAAGAGGATCTATATACCCTTGTGGAGACAGTCCTGGGAGTAGTATATTAGGCTTGAAGAGCTCATTAGATGAAAATGTGTCAGGTTTTCTTAGAAGCCACGCGCCAATTCAAGGGAGTCATTTTAAAATACATTCCTATTATTGCTAGCTCCTCTGAGGACCCTAATCTTTTAGAAACCAAACTAAAAAAAAAAGAAGGAGCAGCTATGTCAGATGCCAAGTAAAGTGCCTCTGATGGTTGGTGGAACCTGTGCAGTATTTTCCCATGCTTGATTGTTTTGCTTTTAAAAATAGCTATTTGTTTTCCCTTCACACTCCTTCTGTGGTCAGTCTTTGATTTGGGGGTATAAGTAAGGAATTAGGTGGAATACCATTTCATAATTTCTAGGGAACCTAATTCATCCCACTGATTTTTCATAACTCAGTAGCTTTCCAGGCTTCTAAATTTAACTTTTGCTCTTCATATATTGCTTCTTTCTTCTTGCCTGTATGAATTACTGTCAGATTAGAAGAGGATGATAGATAGGTTCTGTGGTGGGAAGGGTGGTTAAATAGGAAGGAAGTTAATGCTTAAATTGTCTATCTTCCTTCCCTCACCCTTCACAAACACTCATTTCTAGGTAGTTTGTTAGAAAGATAATTTCCCAAGCCTTTGCCAGAGCCCATTTCTCCCAGGGAAGTTTATCACTGAGAGAAAGGAAAGGCTTTAGGGATCGCTGGCCTTAAAACTCAGCAGGTGCCATCCCTCCAAGAAAAGCTGAATGGAATACTTCTCACTGACCCAGTTCAGGTTGGTATGGTCATGCTGCAGGTTTGCCCGTGGCCCTTGGTCCTCAGCTCAGTAAAAAGGAGAGAAAGAAAGGCACTGTTGGTCTCCAGTCTACCAGCCTCCTCAACCTCTTCTCCAGTTTTGGCAGAGGAGAATTTTAGCCTTTATTTCCAGAATGCTATTGTACGTCCTTTGAATCCTTTATGGGAAGATGACAAGATCTTTGAAATAGGAAATTGCATGGAGTCTCTTGCATTTTGATATGGAAGGAACAAAAGCGGTTGACTTTTTCACATAGATAATTAGGTTTGCAGATGAATGAAAAGAGATAGTTTCCCTTGACTGTACACTCAAGCCTCAGAATGTGAGCTCCTTCAGTCATTCTGTATAGATGTGCTGTCCTTTTTTCAGTGCTCTGAAAAACTTAGATTGGTTGTTTTTCTAGTAAGAAAAGAGAGGCTGTACTAAACCACCCATCTCCTTGGGTGGTCTTGCCTTTCAGAGTGGCATCTATTTGCAAAACAGCTTGCTAGAGTTTGAATGTGTGGAAGGTGGGTAACTGAGTGTGAATTTGATGGGTTCTTAAGGACATCAAATTTGTGCTTTCTGTTTTTTGGCAGTATGCCACTTAAACCAGCTATACCAAGAATTGATTTAACACTTGGAGAACTTATCATCTCCTCACTTGGTAGAGTGCTATGGCATCATAGCTCACAGCAACCTCAAACTCTTAAGCCCAAGCAATTCTGTAGCTTCATCCCCCCTAGCAGCTGAGACTACAGGTGCTCACCACAACGCCCAGCTATTTTTAGAGATGGGATCTTGTTCTTGCTCAGGCTGGTCTCGAACCTGTGAGCTCAAGCAGTCCTCCTACCTTGGCCTCCCAGAGTACTATGATTACAGGCGTGAGCCACCGTGTCCAGCCCCTCCTCACCCTGTTGTAGAAAAGAGAAAGCAGGGAAACGGCAACTTCCCCAAGGGTAGCCAACTATTTAAGAGCAAGGCTCAAAAAACAAAAAAGAACTCTGAACCCCAGAGTCACCCTAACCTACCTACAGAGTCCTTTCTTTTTTCACAATTTGATGAATGAAGTGTATATCTGTTCCTTTGTTTATTCAACAAAAACTTAATCAGGGATTGCTGTGCCTTAGACACTGTGCTGTGTGTATAATGCAGAGAAGGAAAAGGACTGGGCATAAGATTCTTAGGTTAATTGAGGGGCAGGCCCTGAAATCACTCTCACCTGAGTGATCCACAGTCAGAGGATAAACTGTGATCCACAGTTCTTCATGATCCACAATCAGAGGATAAATTAAGTCATTTTGTATGCTCAAATACGTTGGTGCTCCAGGCTTATAACAGAGCGGACATGCTGGCCTCAACACGACTGGAGAGTACTAGGAATAAAAGGATCTGCAAGCTGAGAAACTCTCTGCCCACCCTCCCGTATCATCCAAGAGAAACGTGCATCAGAGTTTACGGTAGGGAAAAGCCTTGACCTAGACTGGAATGTGACTCCTCCCTCACCTTTGAAAAACTGTTTTGAGGTTTGAGGTTGAGGATGTGGCTAAACTGTGTCACAAACAAGAAAGTGAGTGCATTTCTTAGTTCCTCAACTCAATCCCAAGAATAGACAGTTCAGTGCCACATAGTCCCATTGTCTTCTTTGGGCAAAAACTGACTTTGAAGAGTTAGAAGAAACAAAGTCTCCATAAAAGGCCCTACTGGAAAGTTCAGAGAGCTAGCTGAAAACGTGGAGGGTGGGCCTCCTGGAGAGAGCATGGAGGCCTGCGCTCCTTTCCCCTACTTCACCTTACATATCTCTTCACCTGTAGCCTTTGTAACAAGCTGGTAAATATAAGCCTGTCCCTTAGTACTGTGAGTCCCTCCAGCAAATTAATTGAACCCAAAGAAGGTCGATCAGAAGTTGTAGAGGAAGAAATTGGCAACTTGTTTGTGTGGGGGAGAGGGACAGTCTTGGGGACTGAGCCCTGGACCTGTGGGATCTGACACTATGTCTAGATAGACAGCGCTAGCATTGGATGGGAGTTACACCCAACTGCCCCACACCCAGTTATAGAAATCTGTGTTGGTGGTGGTTGTGGTGCGACAGCAGAACAAAACACAGTTGAGTTTTTATAAACACCTAGTAAAACCCTGGGCTGTGAATCATGTATTCACTAATTATTAGACCTGCCAGGCATTTAGAAGACGGTGCATGTGGCTGGGAATAGTGGCTCACACTATTAATCCTAGCACTCTGGGAGGCCAAGGTGGGAGGATAGCTTGAAGTCAGGAGTTCCAGACCACCCTGAGCAAGAGCGAAACCTCTTCTCTACTAAGAATAGAAAAAAAATTAGTCAGGTGTTACAGTGGACACCTATAGTCCCTACTTGGAAGGCTGAGATAGGAGGATGACTTGAGCCCAGGAGTTTGAGGTCACTGTGATTTAGACTAAGGGCAGTGGCACTCTAGCCTGGGCAACATAGCAAGACCCCCATCTCTAAAAGAATAAAATTTTAAAAAAGAAAAGAAAAACTTGTTTAAGGGGCAGGGAGTATCAGGTGTCAATAATTCAAAATACTGGCTCTGAGCCTATGGCTCAAGTGGCTAAGGTGCCAGCCACATACACCTAAGGTGGCGGGTTCAAATCCAGCCCAGGCCTGCCAAAAACAACAATGACCGCTGCAACCAAAAAA